TTAGGATAGTTAGATCTTCTTGCTGAATTGAACACTTTACCATTATGTAATGCCCTTCTTTTTTTTTTTAATCTTTGTTGGTTTGAAATCTTTTTTGTCTGAAATTAGGATTGCAACCCCTGCTTTTTTCTGTTTGCTGTTTGCTCAGTAGATTTTCCTCCATCCCTTTATTTTGGGCCTATGGGTGGGTGTCTTTACATATCTTTATCTATCTGTCCAGCCAGCCATTCATCCATATCATTTCTTACCAATAATAACTTTTAAAAGTGCAACCACATCATTAACATAACCAATAAAATCAATAATAAAATATCATCTAATACCCAGTCCATGTCCAATTTTCCCTATCTCAAAATTGTCCTTTTGTAAATGGTTTGTTCAAATCACAAACCAGATTCAGAAACAAAAGCCATACATTACATTTTATTAATACATCTCTTAAATTTCTTTTAATCTATAACACTCATAGGAATTTTTATGTTTTCATTCATCCTTCCAATTTTTTTAAAAGTATGTATTCACTGAATAGAAAATGCTTGCAGAAAAGTAAAAAAAAAAAAAATTTAAGTATAGTACAAAAAGGTACATAGTGACTGTTCCTCAGTCTCCCTTCTCAGAAGCAATGCTGCCACTTTTGTAGAAATAGCCTCTGCCTAGACACACATGCCAGTCCCCAAGGCTGCTGTAACAAGATGGTTAAGTATGAGAACATGAATTCAAATTCCTATTACTAAATATAAATCTTGGGGATGGTACCTGGCCTCTGTACCTCAGTTTTTGAAAACAGTACTTATCTCATAGGGCTGTTGAGAGAATTAAATCAGATAATTGCTTACATTATTATTTTTTTTTTATTATACACATTATCTTTTGGCTTTTTTCACAAATCGCAGAATGATGCACATCCATCTTCATTTATTGGGCTCATTTTTTCATCTCACATCACATTTTGATGAATAATTCCATACATGCTGTTATAGATTTGCTTCATTGTTTGTAATCATTGACTAATATTTCATTGTATGAATATGCTACCGCTAAACATGTAAGTTATTTTCAACCTATTCTTATTATCAAACAACGCTACAATGAATATGCTTGTAATACTTTATTGGATTCATGTGCAAAAATATTCATAGGATAAAATCCTCGAAGTTAAACTGCTGAGCTAAAGGATGTGTGCATTTTAATGCTTTATAGATATTGCCCAGCTGCCTTAAGGGAGGTTATACAAATTTACACTCCCAAGAAAAATGCACAAGTGTCCCCATTTCCCTATACCCTAGCTAACATGGGATATTGCTAAATGTTTTCATCTTTGTAAACACGATGTGTTGAAAATGGTATCTCACAGTTTTAATGTGCATTTCTCTGATTATGATAAGATAAAGGAAATGTAGTGCAAATGACCTGGCCATGACTCCTGAGTGAGGACACTGGTAAACACCATCAGGATCCAAACACCTCTGTATTTACAAAGAGGATACTCCCTATTGGATAGCACTAAGCTTATTTCATGTATGTACATGTGTAGTTAGTTAATTACATCCAGCAGTGGTGAAGGGCTTATTCTGAACCAAACAAACTTTCTCTCCTACCCGCTTCCAGCATCTGGTTGGGAGTAGCCCAACCGGCCATGAGGCATGCATTTGTACAGATGACCACTTATTCCTCCTTGAAACATTTTTTTTCCATTGGTTCCTCTGCTGTCTCACTCATGGTTCTGCTCCTAACTCACAAATTACTCATTTCCCAGTGTTCTGGCTGTCTTTTCCCCTCATCTGTGCTTGTATACATGGGGGAGCCCCAGGGCTTCTCTCTCGAACTGCAGCTTCTCCCTGGGTGATGTCTATTCCAATGGGTTTAAATACCAGGGCTAGGACTAGGGAGAGGTCATTGAGGCACCCAGCACATGAAGTGTAAGGAAACACTCTTTACTGGGCCCATGCACGTGCAGAACTGGCCCTGGAGAGTGACTGCTTCCTTACCTTTTCCACCCTAGTCCCAGTCCTCTTAAACAGCCCAGTCTTCTCCCTGGACCTCCAGAAACATACATTCTATTTGACATTTCTACTTGGAGGTTTTAAGATAACTCAAATGTAAAATATCTAAGACAGAACTCTTGCATCACTTCCCATCCTGGTGCCCAAGCCTGTTTCTTCTGCTAGTCTATCTCAGTTAACAGCATCACCATTTACTCAGCTGCTCAGGACAAAAATTTTGGAGTAATCTTGATTCCCCCCCTTTTTTTTTAAAGTCCTATCTTCCATCTCCAAAATGTATCCCAAATCTGACAACCTTTCCCACTGTAGGCCAGCCCCCATCTCTCAGCTGTATAAATAGCCTCCCTTAGATTTCTGGATATTTGTCCTTCCCCACCCCCTTGTGATCACTGCTCAGCATCCAGAATGATCTTTTAATATCATGAAGGAGACTGTGTCACTCTCCTACTTAAAGCTCTCTAGTGGCTTCCTAATACATTTAGAATAAAAAACCAACTCCTCACCATGGTCAATAGGCCAGGGTCCAGTACCCAGCACAACAATCCCACTTCTGCCTCCCCACCATTCACCAGGCTCCACTGCACTGGCTTATTCCTGCCTCAGCTGTGCTCCTTCTCCCTGAAAAGTTCTCCCCCTAGATCTTCATGGGTGATGTCCTTCTCAACATTCAGGTGTGAACTCATTTCACTTTCCTGACCACCCCCATCCACTCAGAGATCACCCAAAGTCCCATTACCTATTTTATTACTCCATCATATGTATCACTATCTGAAACTACCTTATTGTTGATGCAGGATATTTTCTTGACCCCATCACAGACTCGCACAGGAGTGCCCCATGTACTCAGCCTGCCCCACTCAACCCCTTGCAGGAGGGAGCACACGCATGAACGAGTGCAGGAATCGCTGGCTGCTTTAGTGCTGGAGCAAACTCCATACAGGCCCTGCAGGGGCATCCAGGTGGGGGTGCCTGCAACCCCAGGGCCTCAGAGGGTGTGTTGCAATGCTCTCTTAGCTCTGCCATCTGCAGACAACAGTGTGTTATCAGCTCAGTGGGCCCTTTGCTACATCACGTGGGCTGGCTACCCTCTGCCAGTGAGGGCAAAGGGCCAGTGTGACAGCCTTTTTGAGTACCCACACTTTGTGCAACCTGAATTTCTTGTCTAGTGCCCAAGAGGAATGAGGTCACACAGATAAATTGAAGGATGGTGAATGTGGAGAATTTTATTGAGCAATGAAATGGCTCTCAGCAGAGAAGGAAGCTGAAAAGGTAATGGGAAGGGCAGGTCACTGTCCCTGAAGTCAAAGCACCTCTCTCTAATGCTCAGCCATCATCTCTGAAGTCAAGTTGCCTCTCTCTGATGTCCAGCCACTTGTCATGGCTACTGGTTAAGTTTGGGGTGTTTATGGGCATAGGATGGGGGCGGGGGTGAAGCATGTCATAGGTAATTTTGGAAAAGGCAACAGTCTATTGGTAAAAAGACATTATTCAGAAAAAAACAATTGGGAAAGAACGGGCACACATAGAAGTTCTCACTTTGGGCAGTGGGTTTCAGGCTTTTCAGCTCAAAAGTGAGGTTTCGCCAGGGACCTGCCCCTGTTTGCCTAGAATTCCTATGCCTCTGTCACTGTTACCACTGGATAACAGATCTTCTACAAAGTTCAGGGGCTTAAAACAAAAACTTACTAATTCAGCTGGACAGTTCTTGACAGGGCCTCTCCTAACTGCTGCAGTTACATAGCAGCTGGGTTGGAGTCTTCTTTTCTGGGGTAGATACCCAGGACAGCTTCTTCCCTCTTGTGTCTGGTGCCTCAGTGCCCCTCCCAGCAGGCTTTCTCTCCAGCAGAGTAGCCTGGACTTCTTGGCAACTCAAGCTTCCAAGAGAAAAAAAAAAAAGCAGAGACTGCTGATTCTCTTACCAAACAGGCCTGGAACTAGCACAGTGTACTTCTGCTGCCATATTCAGGAGGTCAAAGCCGTCCAAGGCTAGTCCAAGTTCAAAGGCACTGGGGGAAAAATTCTACCTCTTAAATGGGAAGTGACACGTGTGTGAAAGGGGGAAAGCATTGACTGTGTCCATCTTTGGAAATAAGCTATTGTGTGGTCTAGTGGTCTGTCTTCTCCCTTTAGGTTATAAGCTCTGTGAGACAACAGGGACCTTGTCCATCTTGTTTCATGGCTCTACTTCCAAGCACCTAGAATCCCTGGCACATAGTAGGTGCTCAGTAATTAATTAAGCACTTGATACATGTTTGGGGAACTAAAATAACTGAATTAAACTTCTCCAGACTAGTTCTGCCAGATTTGCTGATGCCAAGCATGCTGATGCCTCATCAGACAAGAGAAACCCTAAAATGTATGGTTTCACTTTCTCTACAAACAAGAAAAACTTGCCCTGAACACAAAATCTAGAAATAGATTTGGCATGTTTTCTACATGGAAATATTTCTCATAGTACCAGAAATTATTTTCCCATAGCTTTGGGCTACATTAAAATATTGAAGTTGACTGAAAATATCTCCATTCTTTAATCTTGGTGTGGACTAGAAACAATTTTTTTGGTAACAAAGTAAATATGAAAACTTCCCGACATTTGAACTCCCCAGATATCTCCAAACTTAAAATATCATTGCAAGTTAAGATAGATTATTTTTAAAATGAGTACTGAGAAAGGCCATTAAGAGCTTGATCATTGAAATGTATAGGTTTGGGTTATAAAGCCAGCACTTAATTGTTTAAATCATTACATATGACCAAATACAGAAAGATTACCTCAAATCTCCTCTTTGCCAGTTTTCACTGGTGAACTCTGCGAGATGATCCTATCTTTAAACCTTTTTGTAAACCCCTTATAAGTTAGTAAGTGAGAATGTATTCATCAGAAGGATTTTAGTGATTTTTGAAATTTAAAAAGGAGAGAGATTTAATTTTTAAAATTATACTTGCAGACTACTGCTAATGAAATTTCTTCTGACCCTAGTTTTGTCTTATCTTCAGTCTTTCCAGATTTGCTCAAAGTGATCCCAGTGAGCATCCACGTCAATGTCATTCTCTTCTCTGCCATCTTTATTGTGTTAACCATGGTGGGGGCAGCCTTCTTCATGTACAACGCTTTTGGAAAACCCTTTGAAACTCTGCATGGTCCCCTAGGGTTGTATCTTTTGAGCTTCATTTCAGGTAAGTACAAAATTCTACCTCTGAAGACAAATGTACTTTTCAATATGTCAAAAAGATAGTCTACCTAAATATAAAGTTATAGTCTTAATACAGATACATGGATGCACACTGTAGTATTATATATAATAACAATAAGTGTGGAAACACCACAATTCAACAGTAGGGAATTCAACAGATACTTTATGGAAGTCTATAAAGTATGATGCTCACATTAAATTATATTTTTGAAGATGTAATCAAGAGGATAAATGCTGTCTCAAAAAGTGGAAAAAGCAGAGGTAAACTTATATAAACATTATAAACCTAATTTGACATTTATAAAATATAGAGAATAGACATATAATATACATATATACATACATGTATGCATGTATGAAAGAGAGAGAGAGAATAGACTCCAATCTGCTGGTTGTGGTTGTCTCTGACCAGGACACTATGGGTGACTTTGATTTCTGCTCATGCTTATCAGTATTTCTAAATGTTCAATAATGTGGCATTATTTACACATAATAAAAATGAATAAATGCCATCAAAAAAGAGTAAAGGGCCAGTGTTCCCCCCACATATGAGTAGCCATATTCAAGCCTGTAGGTACTTTGTGTATGCTAGGTATATCAGGACAAGGATAAACTCTAAAGGGGAAAACAGTTCATCAACAAATATGTGCTACTCAATAACCGGGGCTGATGGAAAAGAATTTAAAATCCAGTCAGTGCCAAAGGGTGCTTACTATCGGCAAGTGGGAGAAGGAAAAAGAGAAGAAAATGAAAAAGTGTACACAATTCATATGTAGCTGTTCTATAGGCAATCTCTGATTTTACCCCATTCTACATTTGCAAAAAGATTCAACACTGTCAGATTCCTAGGAGGCAAGTGATTTTACTGATGGTTTTATGGAGAGATACAGAAAGATAACAACTCACACCAGCAATCAATGTGATGAAAATCTCTAACTGTTTTTCTCCTGAAGTTGCCCTTTGGCTGCCAGCCACCAGGTACCAGGCTCAAGGTACTTTGTTGCTCTTGCCATTGCTCCCTTCTCCCGTACAATTCAACCCCAGCTACAAACATGTATTGATCTCTCTATATAAAACAAAGCCCTGTAGTTAGCAGGTCACTCGCAGTGTAGCCTCTGTTCACTGTTTCTTGTGCATGCTGCTTAGGGTCTCACTCCATCCACATCCTGCTAATCACATTTTTCACCCAACCAAAATAGATGTCTCGCTAGTGGAGATTCTGCTAATATTTTCTTGGTATTTGTCACAAGTATATAATACAGTTTTAAACTGTACAGATGATCACCCTATAAGGGCAGAGTCTAAGTCTTTCCCATCTTTGTATCTCTGGCAAAAGCACTCAGCATGAAGCTCTGTACGCAGTGGACAATTCAATATGTATTTGCAGATTTGAAATAGCAAGCCCACAAAGGAGATATTAACTTGGTCACCTAGACAGAATAGGTTTTAGCAATCAGAATTCATATGAGATGGAATTGGCAGAACAGGCGCTTTGAAGCAATGGGACATGAGCCAGTGAGGAGTGAGATGGAATATCATAAACGAAGACCAAGGGCTTTGCAAGCAGGGCAGAAGAGCAAGAGCACAGGCTTAGGGTGTGGGCAGACAGAATGATAAAAGGATTCAGTCACATGTGAAGGTCCAGATGAGAAGAGAGAGTTGGGATTACTTCTGCTTGCCAAACATCCAAAACCGAACTGGTGGATCCTGGTGGTGTGCATTTTAGTGATGAGCATCACACATGATTTTAACAGAAGGAATAGAATGTAAAGCAGTGGTTCTCAAACTGGGGTCTCCAGATGAACAGCATCTGCATCATCTGGAAACCTGATGGAACAGCAAAGTCTCAGGCCCTACTCCAGACCTACTGAATCAGAAACTTGGGGGTCTGGGGCCATCTGTATTTTAACAAGCCCTTCAGGAGATTCTGAGGCTGGCTCAAGTTGGAGCTACAGGGAAGTGATTCAACAGGTGGTGGCAAACTAACAAAAAGGAGACCCTGAGGCAACTCAGAGACAGTAATGTCAGAAAGCAGCTCCTACCCTAGGGCTTGGGGGAACCAACAAAAGAGTTTGGCATTGCCAACCAGGCATGGTGGCTCACGCCTGTAATCTCAACACTTTGGCAGGCCGAGGCAGGCGGATCACAAAGTCAGGAGTTTGAGAAACCCCATCTCTACTAAAAATACAAAAAAAAAAAAAAAAAATTAGCCAGGTGTGGTGGTGGGCGCCTGTAATCCCAGCTACTCAGGAGGCTGAAGCAGAATTGCTTGAACCCGGGAGGTGGAGGTTGCAGTGAGCCGAGATTGCACCACTGCACTCCAGCCTGGGCAACAGAGTGACACTGCACTCCAGCCTGGGCAACAGAGTGAGATTCCGTCTCAAAAAAAAAAAAAAGTTCCAGAACCTAGAAGCTTGAGGAGAGGCCCCAGAGCATTGAGTCTCAGACCTTGAGGACTTGGCGCTGGACGCCTTGTGAGTGTGGAAAAGGGTTGGAAACTCTCAGTTGCTGCCACCAGCGAGAACTATAAGTGAAGTGGAAGGCATGGGACCTCCTCCCTTTCCTTTTCTTGTCTTGTCTTCCTTCTCCCCCTGGTGCTCACGTTTGGCAGAAAGCAGCTGACAAGGCAGAACTAGTTTGGAGAGTCTTGACCTGGCATCATAAAGCAGAGAAAAGCAAAGCTGGACTGAAGGTGAGATGCACAGCTTATTAGCAGCCCAGCCGGCTAGCACTCCAGCTGCTGAATGAAATTCTGAAGAACAGCCCATTTGGAAGACAAATTATTTGACAGTTCTGACAGACGACCAAACTAACAGCATTTGAAATGCAAGATGACTCAGAGAATATAGAATTTAATCCAAATCCCAGATCTTATCTCTGCCTTTGGCCAGCTCTAATGCAAGGAGAAACTGAGCACACAAATACATGCAGGAATGATCAGGCCCTGTGCTGCATTCTATTCTGTCTCACCCACCTTCGAATTTGTTGTAAAAGCATGGGCGAGGCTGGGCGAGGCAGCTCACGTCTGTAATCCCAGCACTTTGGGAGGCCAAGGTGGGCAGTGGCTCACAAGGTCAGGAGATTGAGACCATCTTGCCCAATATGGTGAAATCCCATCTCTTCTAAAAACACAAAAATTAGCCAGGCATGGTGGCACATGCTTATAGTCCCAGCTACTCAGGAGGCTGAAGCAGGAGAATCATTTGAACCCAGGAGGTGGAGGTTGCAGTGAGCCAAGATCACACCATTGTACTCCAGCCTGGGCAACAGAGACACTCTGTCTCTCTCAAAAAAAAAAAAGCATGGGCTCAGTAAAGGTTTGTAAATCAGGGAAGGAAGAGAAGGGGAGAAAGGAAGGGAAGGAGCCTGTTCCAGATCTGTGTCTTGCAGAGGATAAAGGCCCAGTGTTTTTAGATCATTCAGTGTTTTTTTCTTAGCCCCCAATATTTATTTTTAAATATCAAAATGTTCAATAAGTCAATAAAAACTGTTATGACAAGAAAACATGTTTGAGGGTCAGATGGATTGACAGTTTGTGACCTCTGGGGATAAACAGGTCACTTTGGAATCACAGACTTCCTCATTCGCCCTAAATCTCATATGGTACCTAGAAGCCTTGGAACTTTTGAAATGTGTATTCACAGTTGTAATGTTCATGCAGACCCTGGCTCTAAGCCCCAATGGAGTAAGGGTAGGGTTTTGTAGCCCTTATCCCAAACATTCTAAATGTGAGCCAATGTATCACATTCTCAGAGGCCAGAGACTGTATTAGGGGTCCTTTATTTCAGGTACGACTTACATCCCATTAAGAGACCCCAGAGGTCAGCTCTCTTCCACTGACTGGTTCTCCTCCCTTGTTTCTCTCGCCAGTGTGTGCGGCCCCGGTGGCCATGCTCACCATCAGCAGGGAAGAAAAATGGTTTCCTCCTTGGACCTCTTTTTTCTTTTTCTTTACCCCATGCACATCTAGGTTCCCTAAGCTTCCCCCTATCCTGGTGCTGAAGTCATTCTATGATCATTTCTTCAACTGTCCACTTCCCTGCTGGATGGGCACCCAAGACTTGGCATCCTGAGGCATGTAGAAGGGGGAAAGGAACGGGAAGGGAAAAGAAGTTCACCCGCCTGTCTATCTGGAACTTTCCGTACTACCCGGAGTACTGCTGTGGGCATCTCCTTATGTCTCCCAATGTGCATGCCAGATCCTGGAGGTAGAAAAGGAAAGAAAGTAACACCACAGACCAGACCAGCAATAGCTTCAGTCACACAGTCACTCATACTTATGGCTTCATATTCTGTCGCCTCCCGAACCAGACATCTCTTCCCCTCTCAGAGCCTCCAGTTTAGCTCATTTTCCTCAGCATTCTCCATGTAATACTTCTGACCATTATCACTGTTGCATGAAACCCATGCAAGTCAGCCAATTCGCTGTTTCTCACCCAGTCATTTAGAAACTGATGCTGAGAAGTGTTTTTCCCAAGGCAGGATTTCAGGAATACCTTCATCATCCCCCATGGTTCATTTTGGGCAGTGATTCTCTTCTTTGACTGTACATGAGAATCATCTGAAGAACTTTCTAACACTACTGATCTTAGGTCCCACACCACATTAATTAAATTATAGTCTCTGGGGGTAGGGCTTGGGCACTGCTGTTTTTCTTTAACCTCTCTGGAGTCATTTTAATTTGTAGCTGGTGCTGAGGGTTGCGATATAGGCTCACAAATTTCATGTATTTGTCAAACACTGACTGAGTGCCCACTATGTGCCAGCCATTATAATAGGCACTGGTGATCCCACAGTGAATCAGGCACACAGTGCTGTCTTCATGGAGCTTGCGGTCTAGTGGGAAAGTCAAACAAAAGTGTACATCAATAATTAAGCGATTACAGATTGCAATAATTACAATAAAGGTAATAAACAGGTTGCTATAATATGCAATAGTATTGCCTTTCACCAGCCATTTCTTAAAGAGGTAAATCATCTATC